CTCTTCAGCTCAAGGTGAGCGCTCTACCACTTGAGCTACAGCGCCACTTCCGGTTTTCTGGTGGTTTATTGGAGATGAGTCTCATGGTCTCTCCTGCCCGGGGTGGCTTTGAACCACAATCCTCAGATCTCAGCCTCCTGAGTAGCTAGGATTACAGGCATGAGCCACCAGTGCCCAGCTGAGGATCCAGGTTTGAAGCCAGACAGGCAGACAAATATGAGACTTTTATCTACAGTTAACCAGGAAAAAAGTCAGAAGTGGAGGTATGGGTCAAGTGATTAAGCACCAAGCCTTGATTGAGCTCAAGGTTCTTAGTTCAAGCTCCCCCCAGCAACCCTCTCCAAAAAAAGAAAGAAAAGAAAAAGGAAACGAAAAGACTTACTTTCTAGTTATGAGTTGTTCAAAGCTGAAACAAACTTGGAGGATTCTGAATGATCACACTAAAGCCAAGAAGGAAATGTTATTAAGAACAGTATAGTACACAGCCCAGTGCAAAGAGCACAGGCCTCATTTACACCCAACATACCTGGGTTCAAATCTAATTATGCAACTGGAGTATCCTCACTGACCCCAAGTTTCAAGGTGAGAATACGACCTCAAATAACATCAAACATAGTATTTCACAGATGAGTAAAATGTAATGCTTATCACATAACAGTTAAACAAAAATACATAGAATGCCAACTATATAGGCACATCTGAAGCTATATTCACTACTCAAATTAGTAAAAACAGAATACTAAACAAACATTTTTATTGGCTGTCCTGGGATTTGAACTTGGGGGATACACACTTGCTAAGCAGGTGGCATACCTAATTTTTGGCTTGAGTTATTTTTCCAGATAGGGTTTCTTGCTTATGGTGAACTTCCTATGATTACCTGTGCACATTTGAAGCCTTATTGGTTTGGGAATCTCATATTTTGCCTGGGTTGGCCTTGAACCATGATCCTTCTGTTCTCTACACAGAGAACAGAAGCTGGGATTACAACATGAGCCACAGCATCCAGCCTCAACAAATATTTATTATTAAGCACTGTTTAAACTACTGAGAATCAGCAGTAGCATGGGCATAATCTCCAGGATACCATGAATACTTTTTTCCAGACTAGTGATTTCATTCAACATGCACATAAGTGCCCACCCTACCAAAGACAGAATCATGCTGTAAAGAACACAGTCTATGTCCCATGGAGCTGGATATGAATCCTCCAGATGTCTACCAGTATTTCTGTCTTCCCACCATAGCATAGGAGAGCTAGACTTCATTTTAAAGGTTAACCTATAACTTCTAGACAATGTCATTATGCTACTGTATCGTTTCACCCAGGAGGCATGGAAAAATAAGCATCTAAATTCTTGAGAGATTTTAAAAGCTGATCTCTTGAAGAGAATTTTTATAATTCATTTACTTTTATTAAGTAATTTCAAACTTCAAGTTTGCTTTCTCAATTTCTTGACATCCTTAATAAAACTACAAAAAAAAAAACCTCTTAAAAACTTATTAAACACGTAATGGTGGCTCATGCCTATTATCCTAGCTACTCAAGAGGCTGAGTTCTGAGAATCATGGTTAGAAACTAGCCCCCTGGCAGAAAAGTCCCCATGAAACTCATCTCCACTTAACCACTCAAAAACCTGAAGTGGTGCTACTGCTCAAGTGGTAGAGAACTAGACTTGAACACAAAGAGGCTCAGGGACGGCATCCCAGCCCTGAGTTCAAGCCCTGCAACTGTGAAAAAAAAAAAAAAGTTGGAAAAACTTTTATCTGCTTATCTCAAAGTCAAAGCCAAGCACACCCAACAGATGAAGTAATTTATTAGTAATAAGACTTTTAGAGCTTAGATCTTAATCCAACATTCTTAATTTCATAAAAACAAAGACATAGGACAGTATAATCAATATATCAGAATGGTTAGATGTGGTAAAGTAGGTACTAGGACTACAGAAGAGACTTATGTCCACCTACATGGTACTAACAACCACTTCTCTCATAAGGTGAGGTGGGTGTTCTCAAAGAAAACTCAAGTACTAGGTGTGGGTTCTTAATTCAGTGGTCACTGGCCAGGTGCTGCTATCTATCCCAACTGAACACTACGGATGTGGTTTCATCCGTACATATCCATGTAAACTTACTGAATAGTCATGTTCCCAAAACATACTGAGTAAGCCATTTCAGAAAATTTCTACCCATAGTAAGATTTCAGAAATAATTTCCTCTATGGCTAAATCTCTTAAGTTGGAAATAACACTATCTGGGAAAAATGACAAGGTCTATAAGGATGTAACGTGAATAAGTAACAAAATTTTCACGAGACTCCAGAGAAATAAATAATCATTGCAAATTGTGTGAGACTTGCATTATATTTCAGGCTCAAGGTAATTTGTATAGTCTGGAGGAGAGCTAGCAGAGAACTCCCAATTTAGTACCCCCTTCTGCACCATTTATAGTTACCATCAGAACCTCAAAGAGGATTCAAGTGTAGGGTGAGCACAATAACATGAAAATCTGAACTACTCTAAAACCCTAAAGCACTATTTTTTTTAAAAAAAATTATGAGGAGCTGAGTAGCTGGGATTACAAACTGAGTATACTGAGAATTTGGACTGTCAAAAGGGAGATCTAGCCAGGAACTAGTGGCTCACATCTGTAATCCTAGCCACTTAGGAAGCTTATATCTGAGGATCACAGTTTGAAGCCAGTCCAGGCAGGAAAGTAAGACTCTTATCTCCCATTAAGAAAAAAAAATCCCAAACGTTTTTAATGCCAGCGTGTCATTTTAAAAGTTTAGAATTTTGAGCTGGGTGCCAGTGGCTCACACCTGTAATCTTATCTACTCAGGATGCTGAGATCTGAGAATTGCAGTTCAAAGTCAGTCTGGGCAAAAAAGTCTAAGAGGGGCTGGGAAGTTGGCTCAATGGTAGAGCGCTTGCCTTGCATGCCTGAAGTCCTGGGTTCAATTCCTCAGCACCACATAAGCAAAAAGAAAAAAGCCGGAAGTGGTGCTGTGGCTCAAGTGGTAGAGTGCTAGTCTTGAGCTGAAGAGCTGAGGGACAGCACCCAGGCCCAGAGTTCAGGCCCTACAACTGGACCCAAAAAAACAAAAGTCTGAGACTCTTTTTTTTTTAATTTAATTTTATTTTATTTGTGAACATACTGTACAGAGGGGTTACAATTACATGGGCAGGATAATGCGTACATTTCTTACCAAGCATTGCATCCTCCTCCTTTGTTTACCCTTCACATCCCTTCCCAGCCTCCCCCCTCCCCCCCAATCCCAATCCTAAGAGACTCTTAATCTCTAATTAAAAAGCTGGAAGCAGAGCTATGTCTCAAGTGGTAGAGCACTTATGCTAACTTATGTTGGATGAAGCTCAGTAAAAGTTTGGAAGAAAACAATGAATTATATACCAGAACAGAACAGGTTTGTGGTGAGATGTTGGTAAATAAATAGGGTTAGAGGGGCTGGGAAGGTGGCTCAGTGGTAGAGAGCTTGCCTTGCATGCATGAGGCCCTGGGTTCGATTCCTCAGCACCACATAAGCAAAAAAGGAAAAAACCGGAAGTGGCACTGTGGCTCAAGTGGTAGAGCGCTAGCCTTGAGTTGAAGAGTTGAGGAACAGCGCCCAGGCCCAGAGTTCAGGCCCCACGAATGGACCAATACATATGTACGTACGTACATACGTACATACATACATACATAAGGTTAGAGAACAGAAAGCAACGAGAAAGACATTTCAGGTATCTGTACAGATATGTAGGTAATAGGGGACTATGCAACAGGTTGGCTAGAAAATAATGGAAAGGGCTAACACTGATCAAGATGCACTGTACTCAGACTGATATTAAAGTGAAGCCCCTTTGTACAAACTAAAATAATAAAAATAGATAAAAGATTTTTAAAAGGAAAGAAAATGTAGATTTTGCTTTACTAGGATAAATAACAACTATAATACATTAGCTAGGACTTGTATATCATGCATTATTCTAGGGACAATATATATAAAATACATGTACAAGCCGGGTGCCAGTGGCTCATGTCTGAAATCCTAACTACTCAGAAGGCTGAGATCTGAGGATCGCAGTTCAAAGCCAGCCCAGGCAAAAAAGTCTGTGAGACTCTTATCTCCAATAAACCACTAGAAAAAACAGAAAATGGCACTGTGGCTCAAGTGGTAGAGAACTCGCCTTGAGCTGAAAAGTGCAAGCACAGCACCAAAGCCCCACGACCTACAAAATAAATAAATAAAATACATGTACATATACATCTGTAATTGTTCATATATGTATACATGTATCTCTACTTATCATGTTATCATTTAATCAACCCTTAAAATAAACTCTACAAAGTGTATACTATCCTAAGATCTTTTTTTTTTTTTTTTGCCAGTGCCAGAACTTGAACCTAAGGCTTCACTTTCTCAGCCTGCTTGCCTACCTATCACTCTACCTCTTGAACCACTGATTTTGCTGATTACTTTTGGAAATAGGAGTCTTGTGGATTTTTCTTCCCAATTAGATTTGAACCACAATACTCTGGATCTCAGCCTCCTGAGTAGTTGGGATTAGATGTACGCCACCACACCTGGCTATAAGACCCATTTTGCAGACTGAAAAGCAGAGTTTGGTTTAGATATGGTTTAAGTGCATTCTCTAAGTTTAATATGTCAGAAACTTCATCCTCAGCATGGCAATTTTAAGAGGTGTTGGAACATATCTGCCATAAGGTAACACAACCAGGGAAGCCCTCAGTAAGGCCAGAACCATGCTGCTTGGGCTTTCAACCACCAAAATTATGATATACATTGCTTTTCTTTGTAAGTTACTCATCCTTAGGTATCTTATTGTAGAAATGAAAAACTGACCAAAACAGAGGTATACAGTGTTAAATGTACGCCCCAAAGAGGAATTCTTGGGATCAGAATACAAGCAGCATTTCTCAAGCTTTCACCACCTATAAAGGTATCACATCAGCAAAATTTTTTTCCTTGAATACCATTTGTCAGAGTATACACCAATATCTAAAACTAAATTCTCCAGAGGTTTTTTCCTTGAAGTTTCTTTTTTTGGGGGGGTCCGGTCATGGGCCTGAACTCTGGGCTTAGGCGCTGTCCCTCAGGCTCTTCAGCTTAAGGCTAGTGCTCTACCACTTGAGCCACAGCACCACTTCCGGCTGTTTTCCTTTTTGCTTATTTGGTGCTGGGGAATCAAACCCAGGGCCTCATGCATACAAGGCAAGTCCTCTACCATTGAGCCACCTTCCCAGTCCTCTCCTTGAAATTTCTGAGAATGACCAGTTGTATAGACTCCTGAAGATAAAAGATATTATTGTACGCTACTTAAGTGACATTCAATAAAATGTAGAAAATTTTATTCACTACTTCAACCTAGCATTCAGGCTAGTTATTAGATTTCAGATTCAGTACTTAGTACAGGAAGTC